GTGATACTTTAAACTTTTCTCTACTTAGTCCAACACAAGAAGAAGAAAGTAAAAAAATCCCAATGGTATGGCTTATTTAAATCTGTTCGGTAGATTAGTATTTTCATATTTCTATAAACAAACTTCCTTGTCAACTTAGTTCGTAAAATTGGGTCCCATCAAATTCAAAGAAGTCATAAGAGTTCTTCTGGACCTTTGACAAAGGAAACATCAAATGATGCATTTATAGATGGTCAAAAAGAGTTTCATCACAATGCTTTTAGAAAATGATCAGACACAATGAAGAAGCGAGTGGTTAGTGCGCCCAAGACAATCACACTTCATATCACCTTGATTGTTCTTTGATTCAGACTCCCACAAAATAAAATCAAAGATGAATAGAGGAATGACTTCTCGATGACTGTATTCATGTCATGACCGAAGCTAGATAATGACTTGAAACGAATAAGGTAGCTGAACCTCAATTGTATTACGTTATCTGTAAGACTAATGATAACAAAGTCAGATGTCAGTTGAGTGGAGGCAATCGACAGGAAGCCCTGGACTTAGGTTTGTTGCTTTTTAGTACTCGTCAGCATGGTATATCTGCAACCTTGACGAAACTGATGTCTCACCTGAGCTATTCTGGCTGCGACTGACCTTCTGTAGGACTGGACTAGATAAATTGTGAGGTCATCTAGACTAGGAAGCTGGCTTACTACAAACTGGTTGGGCAGCGTATGAAAAAATTCAGTGAAGAGGACCATGTTCAAGGAATTTACTATCAATCTGTATGTATACGATACATAAAAACTTCAGATAACAATATTATTATAATCGTAACCAATATTACTGTTATTTTTATCACTGGTTATTTACATTTCAGTCTTCCAATACCATGCATATAACCTCACCTGGTTAACTAGTTTACTAGTTACTAGCCGGTCCTAAGCCCGGGTAAAGAGGGAAGGTTGGGCATAGGGCTAGCAACCCTACCCCGTAAAACAAATCTAACCGCTAAACAAACTTCAAAGCACAAACAAAATATAAAAAATGAAAACAAACTTATTCCCCGCTGGAATCGGAGAGGCGAAATGACGCCAGTTGGTGAAAGCCTGCATTCAGGAAGCCAATTGGCCGGGCCGATGTGTCTTCTCTCTCTCGATGAAAGCGAAAGTAAACATGGGGACATGGAATGTCCGTACGATGTTTGAACCCAGTAAGGCAGCCCAGATTGCAAAGGAGATGAGGAGGTATAACATCGAAGTGCTTGGGATTTGCGAAAGCAGATGGAATGGGAGTGGACTCTCCAAACTGTCAACTGGAGAATCAATAATCTACTCCGATATTGTCACCCAGACGACAACCACGAGCACACTGAGGGAGTAGCTATCATGATGTCCCCAACAGCATCGAAGGCTCTCATGCAGTGGGAACCAATCTCCCCTGCAGGATCATGACAGCAAGATTCAACTCAAAAGGAAGAAGGGTCACAATCATACAATGCTATGCACCTACAAATAATGCAGAGCAAGAGAAAAAGGAGGATTTCTACAGACAACTTCAATCAACACTGGACAAGACGTCAGTTGGCGATATCAAAATTCTGATGGGCGATATGAATGCCAAACTGGGAGGGGACAACACGGGAAGAGAACTAACCATGGGTCGAGAGGCGCTAGGTGAGGTGATGAATGAGAATGGAGAATTGTTTGCAGAATTCTGTGCATTCAACGATTTGGTGATTGGAGGCAGTGTGTTCAGGCACAAAGATATCCACAAAGCGACATGGATTTCACCAGACACCAGGACACACTAAAAATCAAATCGACTTTATCTCAATCTCAAGAAAATGGAGACGCAGTCTACTTAACACAAGGTCAAGAAGAGGAGCAGATGTAGGTTCAGACACACTATCTAGTGCAAGGAACCTTCCAAATCAAGTTAAAAGCCTTCAAGGAAGCTGGTGATAGACCTCAAGTCAAGTACAACACTCGGAACGAAACTGAAGGATGAAACTACAAAGGAGATCTTCAAGGCAGCCATCAAGACAAAATGGGAGACATCGAGCAACATCCCTGAAGAAACCTGTGTGGAAGAACACTGGAAGTCTTTGAAAGCTATGTGGAAAGAAACCTGCACAACAGTATTAGGAAGGAAGAAGAAAGAAGACAAGGAATGGATCTCGACGGATACCTGGAAGCTGATAGAGCAGGAGAGGAGGATGGTGGAGCGGAAGATAAACCAGTGCAAAGATACTCAACGACAAGAGGAACTGAGCACAATGTATAAAACACTACACTGGACAAAGAAGTGAAGAAGAGTGCACGCAAAGACAAAAGACACTTCTACGAAACACTGGCAAGTGAAGCAGAACAGGCTGCAGGTAAGAGAGACCTGACGACATTGTATCAAATAACCAGGTTGCTATCAGGGAAGAGACCAACACAGATGAAACCAATAAAAGATGAAGAAGGAAATTTAATTACGAAAGAAGAGAAACAGAGGAAACGATGGGCCGACCACTTCAAGAAGCTCTTGAATCGACCACCACCTGCACTTCGTCCAGAAATACCACCTACAGCCGCTGAATTACAAGTGAACATAAATCCTCCAACAAAGGTGGAAGTCCTGAACGCCATAAAGCTACTGAAATGCGGGAAAGCAGCAGGACCAGATGGGATCCCACCAGAAGCACTGAGAACAGGTGCAGAGACAACAGCGGACATGCTCACACCACTTTTGCAGAAGGTGTGGAAGAAAGGGAAGGTACCTGGCCATTGATTGGAAGAAGGGTTACCTCGTCAAACTACCGAAGAAGGGAGACCTCAGTGCTTGCAAGAACTGGCGCGGAATCACTCTCCTGTCCACCCCAAGTAAAATATTAAGCCGCATCATCCTGGAGAGGCTAAGGGATGCACTGGATTCAAAACTACGACCGGAACAGGCAGGCTTCAGGAAGTACAAATCATGTGCTGACCAAATTGCAACGCTTCGTATCACCATAGAACAGAGCGTAGAATGGCAATCAGCTCTATACCTCAACTTCATCGACTTTGAGAAGGCCTTTGACAGCGTCGACCGAGAAGTAATTTGGAAACTGCTTCAATACTACGGAGTACCGCAAACCTTTATCCGCCTCATTCAACAACTATATGAAGATGCCACATGCCGGCCAAGTAATCCACAATGGGAAGCTCAGTGATGCCTTTGAAGTGAAGACAGGAGTGAAACAAGGTTGCCTACTATCTCCCATGATATTCCTTATTGTGGTGGACTGGATCATGCAGCAAACAGTAGGCAGCGAGAAGAGGGGGATACACTGGACGACGGAGAAGAACCTAGAAGACTTGGATTTCGCCGATGACTTGTGCCTAATGTCACACAAACTTGAAGATCTGCAGGCAAAAACTAACAAGTTGATAGAAGAGGCAGCTAAGACGGGACTTCAGGTGAATATAGAGAAGACAGAAGTGATGAAGATACCACACCACCACCATCAACAACAACAACAAACTCCAATCACCGTCAACGGGAGAAACTTGAAGGAAGTAACCTCCTTCACTTATCTAGGAAGCACTGTTTCAACTACAGGCGGGACGGACGAGGACGTCAAAGTGAGAATCGGAAAAGCAAGACAGGCGTTCATTAGCCTGAAACCGGTGTGGAGATCTTCTGCACTCAGCATATGGAACAAGATACGGATTTTCAACACCAACGTCAAGTCAGTGCTCCTGTATGGTTCAGAGACTTGGCGCGTCACGAAAGGCATTTCCAATAAATTACAGACATTCATCAACAACTGCCTACGCTCGTTACTAAAGATCAGATGGCCAGAAAGAATAAGCAACAAGGAACTCTGGGAACGAACCAGCCAAGAACCTATCACGCAACAAATATGCAGGAGGAAGTGGAGATGGATTGGGCATGCACTGAGAAGGCCGACTGAGGACATCACGCGTCAGGCCCTCGAGTGGAACCCAGATGGGAAGAGACGAGTTGGACGTCCGAGGTGAAGGTGACATGGAGGAGGTCGTGCGAGGAGGAAATGAGAGGTTGTGGGCTGTCGTGGAACCAGGTTCAAAAGATCTCAGAGAACAGGATGAAATGGAGACGTGCTACTGAAGCCCTATGTTCCACTAGGAACCCAAGGGACTAATAATAAAATAATAAAAATATCATGCATATACATCGTATATAAAACGTGAATAAATTCATTGAGAAGAGTCCTCTTCCCTGGATTTTTTTGCTTTTGTTATCACAAGGAAAATCATGATATTATTGAATGGCCTTTCTTAAATTCTATCGTTAGCATTCAAACAAAATAGTCAGCAATAGTCTCATTCTCACCTACTGTTTGAAACAATACTTATGCACACAAAGATATATTCTTAGTCAGAACAGAAGCTGATTGGTATTGACAGTTGACAGTTTGTTTTGCAAAATTCATAAATGAGAACTTCCTTAGATCCTTTTGAAACACATGGGATTATTAGAATGCCAGTAGTAAAACACCTTGGCTAATAGGAATATGGAATCTGTTTTCATCTTTGAAAAAATAAAGGATTATTAGAGTTGAATTTCCCCAATACTCAAACATCTTTCAGAAGGAATTGTTACACGATAATTGTGTATCGTGACAATGAATACATATCTAAAACTAATTTCTTTGCTCCCATAGACAGAATTGAGTGATTAAGTACCATGAAGGAAAAAAATAGTTCGAAACTTTAATTTAGGAATTTCCCTTGAAGTTGAGGAGGAACATCTGAACAACCACTACCTGGCAGTGAAAAATGAACTTGGAGGTTATTACTACCCTATCCTACACTGCTAAAAATTTCACTACGGCAATTACGTGTTACCGTAGAAATAAATTTGATAACTGCAATAAACGAATCCGATTACTTGCGAATTACCCGAAAATTACTAGAATTTCTCCTAATATATATCCCTGGCAATGACAACGAAGCCAACACACTACGCAACTTACAGCTCGTGCAAAACAGAACGTGGCAGATGACAAGAAGGGGAATATATTATTACAAATCTAGGTTTTCACAAAAGTAATTAGGCATAATACAAAAAAGAAAGTTAGGGTTTACTTATAAAGATTGAATTTGTCTATATGAACCCATTGTGAAGCTGTCACCCATTGATTGAAGTAGTTGACTTTTAATCATTGGTATTAGGGTTTGACCTTGGCTTCCCTACTGGTAGTATTAGGAGCTTTCACGCAACAGTTGGGTCTCACTGCTTACTGCACTAAAGTGTACGGGGTTACTGAGGACACTTCCTCATATGGACACAAATTTTCTAGAGCCTTCACTTGTTTAGTACCTACTATACAAAAGAGAAAGCAAAGTAGATTAGTTTTCAGTTTATGCATATGGCGTTTTCAACGCTGTTACAAAGGTATTTTTCAAAAAAGTGCGTGTAATGGTCTTGTCAACGGATAAACATTGAAACAATTCTAACACATAGTTTATTGGGTTCATTCATTAGTTTAGAATTATCACTTATACTTTCTATTCATTTGTTGTTATTTATAAAGGATGTTGCTAAAATAACCATCTGGGAATTCTATATCCTGTCTAATATTTAAACCATCATTTCCGAAAAATATTTCAAGTCTGATCATTCGTTGTTAGTGTGATGGGTTGCGCATATATTCCATAAGTGAAAGCTTTAAATGAGTTAGAGTGTGAATAGCAACAGTTTGATTTAAAAGTGAGAGAAATAAAAATATGAGACAAATAACAATGATCATATATGGTTAATAACCTAATGTTTCGAAGAAAGTGAACTGCTGCAGTTTCTCAGACACATTTTTATATGCATAAATTAAATTGAAGGTATATCGAAGGTGTGTAATTCCAGAATTTTTGAAACTGAATCGTTCAAATAGATTAGGCTAACTTGAACAGATTTCTTTATAATCATTAGTTAGAAAATACCTCTCAATAAGACAAAGTAGGTATGACTGTTCCTTTGTTGCGGTTAAAAGCTTCTCAGCACTAAGCATTCTCAATACCATAAGACGTCAAAAGCGAAAAACTCAGGTCTATCATGAAAAGCAAACAACCACTCTGTTTAAATCCAAATGGCAACATCTTTCTGCTTTAGTAAATTCACTGTGTGGAACAGTCAGTATTCACATTAACTGATGAGTACCTTTTCACATTCTCAGTTAAGTTATTCTTAGATAATGATAGCTGAGTAAAAGAATTTTAAAATGATTACGGAGTTCAATGGGACTTCAAATAAATTCTGTTCAATCTGGAAGCTCTCCCATAAAGTGGTTAATTCTACTTGAACAACCTAGCTGAATTTCACTACGCTGTTTATTGATTACCTTCCTCGAAATATATAACTTGATATCTAGCAGGAATTTACTATCTGTGAATTAAGTCAGTGGGGAAGAAGGAAAAAAGGTTACAGAACGGTCTCGTCTAGCTCTACAGAAAATCGTTCTTCTTAACTTCAAATTTAAAGGTGACTTATTCTCTAATATTCTGCGTACGTGTTTGTCTAAGTCACTGAACAAAACAGTCTCTGCTACAAGTCTACGCATCCTCTTATCACTTCAGCAGCCAACTGACCAATGTGAAACGACCAAGTTGACACAGAGAACCTCTTCATTATGTATCTGTAAGTTTACTTGCTCTTGTGGAGCCGAGTACACTAACCTTACTGTGTCCTCACTTGCTTGTGCACATCTGTGAAAATTATCCAGCTGCGCACTGAAATGTTACAAGAAGACTATTTCCATCTTTAGAATTGAAGATTTGCTGAATTCGGGGTAATTAACTCCTCTGGTAACGTTATTCACTTTCCTTTATAGACTCCGGATGGAATGTTTAGGTGTGAGGACAACATATTTGTGTGCAGCCAAAGCATTAGCTATTTACAATTATAAGCCTTAGTTATGCCCTCAAAAGAAATATTTGCAGCCAATATCGTTACAATGGCCTTGAAATCCACTGGACTGTTGTTTTTTCTCTATTTGCCTCATGATTTTCTAGACTGGGCTTATCTTCCCTGTTGCTTTGACTCTAGCCGTTAATTCGTATGGGTCTTTCTATCCTTCACATTATTGAATGCACAGCTTTGAAAATAAGTCGTTGAATTATCTTCGTTTTAGCCATCTTTTTGTTCTTTCTTCGACTAAATGATGAATATTTAGTGAAGTATATAATACTTCAGCTTATTTTGTTGTCGTAGTGACTAGAGGTTTATTTACTACTGATAACAAGAGAAGAAACGGAAATAATATTGAATCAAGATATACGCATCGGCCATAATTTTCTCTCTACTTTATTAAACCACAAAATTATTCTAACAAATGATTCCTTATTAAATTACTCCACACTAAAATAGTAACGATAACAGTATGGTTTGATGTTGGAAAAGATATTCTGTTATCGCTAAAAAGCAAAACGACAACCAAACAAAGAAAGGAAATATAAAGGACAGAAATGATCAATAAAATGACTATTTTTGTATACAGACAATGAATTAGTAAATTCCACACAAAAAAGAAAGATTTTGTTGTAATTTTTTCATTACTAAAGTGCATTTTTTTGATGTCATCAACATTGGGATTGTATGTCATAACATTAAAGTACCTCAGTTTAAGTTAATCTATTTCAAAATAACATAAAATAAGAGCAACAGTAAAAGTAATTGGATGTGAAAATCTATATTAGGAGTAAGGAGGAGAAGTTCCAGATTTTAACGAAGATGAGGAATGAATACATAGATTCCAGTTATGGAACATATAGAGTAAGGTTTCATTCAAATGATTTGTCACTTCTCAAGATCCTTCGTCAAAAGGACTCCAACTGGTAGTCAGGAAATTGTAGATTACTGACAGATTCTACTATGATAACTTCGAAAAACTTTTGTCTAGGTGATCATTCTCTGTCAGCATCGAAGATCAGTGTAGTTGGTGACTCTGAATATGCAGTATATGATCGAGAAAACACAGGTGCTGCACACTAAAAATCTGCTGATTAACCTCCACACCTTAAACGCTGCTGAATATTAAAAATCTTGTTATTTTTCTTCCCCTAAAATTGAATCACCTAACTTTACTAGTCATCAGTTGTTTCTAGTATTAAGGTATCCCATTTCATATTGTTTCATTACGTAACAGATGAACGGCTACATTAAGTGTGAGTTGGTTGGCGGCAACTGGCCAGAAGCCCAAAACTTAGCTTCGTGTCTGTCAGCACTTATCAGTGGCGGCCTGAATATTCAATGGTAATGTCACCGACTGTAAGACTGGGTGACGTGGGTTTGAACCTCACCGGAGAATTTCGTCCACTTCAGTCGGGGTCTCAGATTCACCTTGTTGATGAATGTCATCAAGTATGAAACCTAAGTTCAGAGCTTCCTGCTGATTACCTCCAACCAACAAACATCCGTCAAAGTGCATCGTAATGTGAGCCTCCTGGCTAGGTGGTCATATTGCGAAATGATGGATAAAATTCGGTCAACACTTGAGACTAGACAACATATAGCCACAGTTACTTGACTATATCAAACTATAAAATGTTTTTCAACAAGTAAGCAGCTTAAGGTTTATGTAGATTTCATTTTTAAAGGTTGTACTCATCATGGAGTGACATTAGTCGGAGAACCATTGAAAATATGGGAGTACTGAACCGTTGGATTACGACCCAATGTCACAATGGTAACTTGCTGGCTTCGTAATCTGGAGGTTGTGCGTTCGATTCATGGTGGGGTCATATGTGGGAACTGCTGGAAAGTCTCATATCAAGACGCGACAGTTGTGCAGTGTTCACATATTTTCAATAGTTCTGGAATTGATGTCACTCTGTGAAGAATATTAACCGGAAAGTAATTAAAACACCTAAGTGATAAGATCTAAGAAATGTAACTTAAATACATAAATTTGAAGTTTCTTTGAATGCATAGGCTTTAGGAAAATTGATAGTTGATACAAGTCATGTGCACACCCTTTAGTTGACTATGGAAAACTATAACTACTATTGAAGAAAGTTATTCTACATATTTTGTATATTATGCTTCATCAGAAACTTTTTGAGGACACAAATTATAACCAAGCTGCACTCAAATTTCGATTGGTATACGTTTTGTCAACAGTCTTACAATTCTGTTCAATTCTATAGTGTTTCTTTTGACACATAGTCCAGCAATTTACTATCATGTAGGAGAATAGACAAGTTATATTATTTTCTTTATCCTTAATGTGGATGCTCGAAGTTTCGAGAATAACTGTATTATTTACTTGAAGTTTCATATTGAGTAAAATGCATCTATACCAATATGCGTAATACAGAAGATGAAACATTTGTTGAAGTGTAAGCCACGATCATGACTTAGCACCTCTTTAGCGTAAACCTTCACTCTTTTCACTGTTTGCCTACACATAGTAGTCTGCTTTCTCGATATTCCTACCTTTAACAGATTGGATGCTTTTATATGGGTTTGCTTTTGAAAATACCGTTCACCTATGTTTCTCTATCAGATGTTTAGTTTTTCTTCTCTCACTATTCCTATGAGTCTAACAGAAAAGAAGGCTTTTACTAATTTATATATGGAATATTCATGTTAGAGTTCAACATTCAAAATTATGCAATATTCACTGTCGTTACAAACTTTTATTTGATAAAATGCAGCTGGTGAACATAATAACTTGAAATGATTATAATCATGGTTACAAAATTAAGCGAAGTAAAATTAGACCTTTTAAACTACCTACCTAGTAACCTCTCTATAGTGAAAATAAATAAGATTCTAAAGACTATACAGTGTGGGATGAAAACGAAGCAATAAAGTAAAAACTAGGAGCGAATTTTCGCGTAGATTTATATTCAGAACCAGAATTTCATACCATCATATGCTATTTGCATAGCATAAAGACTAATTCATTTAGGAGAGACAAGTCAGTAAACCACTTAGTTACTTTCCTGACCCACTTAGAATAATTCACTGACAAACACTGCGGCAACAAATGAAACAGATCACCTCGACCCGATTACTGGCCTATGTGGCCTTCAAATACTGACACTACTTAGCAGTAAACATGTTGAAGTCATAAAGATGACAGCATGGGAATAACTAGCCGACGAAATATCTCAAAAACTATGAGACAAATTAGGGTGAAAATATTATAAATTGTATCGTTTATTCTGTCACTAGTTCACTTTGTAATAGAATGATACAATGATATTCAACTAAAGTATTATAACTAGGCCAATATAGAATACAATCATCATCGTCATCAATAACAACGTCATACATATGCCATTATCTAAGTAAACAAAGAGGTGGAATAGTCTAAATATGTCAAGTATTCAGTACACACAAGTGTTTTTGGTGTGTTTGCAAACCAGTGTGTACATCGACTGTTGAATATGTGTATTTCAGGATAGAATGTCTTTGTTCATATATCGATACAGATATTTATTTCCCTGTCACAATGTGTGTATTCACTAGAAAAAAACTTGATCAAAAAATCACTTTTAACATGAGTATTTTTCAGTGACTGAATTTCATAAGCTTTTCATATTTCCTCTATCTATATACAGCTGAATAATGTACTTCGTGATAAAGAAGGGGGAACTATAATCTGTAAAATATTCACAGAATTGATTAGTTTTCCACTTGATAGATAAATGTCACAGCTTCTAGTCGTAAATGATGACGCAAATGAAGAAACTTAATAGTTGTCTTCTGTTGGCAAGCACCAACTTTCTACACTGATTACTGACATGTGGAAGACATCAGGAGTTAAGAAAGGGGATGTAAAACTTCAAGGATTTATAAACCTATGACAAACTTCAAGGCTTACTTTTTCACCAAAAAATGTGCGTACTAAATTATCTGTAGACATATTCGCATGAGTTCACGAAATGCCTCTTTCATATTCACCAAATTTGAATGGTTATTCTCTGAATGGCTATTTTCATTAAAAATAGTCCCTTAAATCTACGAAGTAGCGTTCATTCACTGACTTAAAATGCCATTTCTGCCACACTGGTGAGTGACCAGTCATGAGGTTTTCCAAAACAGGAACATCTACTTTACTCCAAAAATCGCTATTTCTGAACAAAACGTTTTTGCGACAATACTACTGAGTAATATGGAAGCTTACTAACAGACGCATACAGCGACCCTTTAAAATACCTACTTCATATTGTGACATTAAAAAATGATTATTATAATCAAACAAAATTCATCTGATCAAGTTTCATATCTTTTTTCTCTTTTGAGTCTTCATGTTACCAATTTATGTGTTTATTTGCACTCACCACTATTGAATGTCCTTAGTTGAAAAGAAGCTAACGAGTTTCTAAACCAAGTTACGATTGAATAGTTTGAAACAATTTAAGCCGCGGATAATGGTAATTACGTCCAACTTTTCATTCTTTGCAAAATATGAATGCTTAAATAATGAATAAATAGCTCAGTGGTAATGTTGTCAACTCCAACACTCCATAACATGAATTCAAATCTCAGATGGGTTACAGATACACCTTTTTGACGAGTATCAACAAACTTGAAACCTAAGTTCAGGGCTTCATGTCAACTACCTACAAGCAACTAAAACCCGTCAAAACGCACCATGAAGAAGAGCATTTTGACATGATCTATAGAATTCGGTCAGCGTTCAGGATCAGACAAAATGAAATTGTCTGCTCTCCGGTGACTAATCAGTGTAACGTTTAACTTTATAAACAAGTGAAGTGCTTTGTTGCTCAGTAAGTATAACCCATTTTTCGAAGATTACAACTGAATCATTTGTCGATGTAAGTCCATTTAGTTGCCATGTCTGATTTCTGTATGTTATTCGCAACGGCTGATACACCACAGATATTTTTACATCCATGTGTACAATTAAATATACAATCGAAAACACTTCGATTTCTAACTCCTAAAGATGAATGATACTTAAAATTGGTAGAACCTTTTTATCTCACTTTGATGACTAATTTATGAGCGATTAACAAAGCGGTATTTTTGATGATGCCCGTGTGTTTGTTTGTTTTTTCTAGAGTACTTCCAAAAGAAGGCAGAACAAAATTCAGGAATGCAGTTTGATATAAATTTTAATCTTCTTCAGTTGACAGGTAGTAATACTGATTGCCAGTATGCTGATTAATGCATGCTGAGCAATTTAGATGGAATATAGAACCTATTTCAATTGAGAAACTTCCCAGGAAAATACAGGGAACGAAAAATAAAATGAACAATAAAACAGTAATGAAGGGAGAAATGCATGAAAAAGGCATAGAATAAATCAATTCAGTACTATCAGGATATCAAATGATCAAAACATTTTCAAATACTTTACATATTTTATCAAAATGTATATGAGCAGAGTGGGTTGACGATTTGACGCAGTAACTATTCGAAAGGAACCACTATTCATAAAGCTACAGTTTTACGCTGATATACTTAGGGAGAACCTATTTCATAGATTTTCAAGGAAAATTACAAGAACGTTTTGTGCAGTCAATCTCCATCTATCATTTTCCAGTCGGTGAATTGTTTTGTGTCAAATGAAGGATACGTTATCTAGTTTCACCACTTCCACTTGTATTTATGGATTTAATTGCTCCAAAGAAAACAGTTATATTAGACGTACAACTTCGCAGTTTAAGTAACGTATTACCAAACACCTATCTTAATGGGTGGAAAAAAGAACACGTTAAATCTAAAAGAAACTCTGTTTCCTCTCATTTAGTTGATAGTGGCCACAGTGTGGGTGGAAGAATGCGTTCAAAGTGATTACCAAATTCTGCTGACAGTTTCCGATTGAGTTTGAACTTACCTTTTACATACAGCTGAGCAATTCAAGTGAATGATACGAATCTCTGTGGTCAAAAAGTATTTGTGCAACCTTTATCCCTCCCTTAGCCAGAGAAGACTTAATGAATGATCTTGTTAATTTATTTTCTGCAAGCCTTTCATATCACTACTATATTCACATCCAAACCCTTTTTATCCACTGTCTTTATCCTCCAGTATTGCGCAACCTTAGTATCCCCTCCCAAGTTTTCATTTATTTTGTGTCTGAACACCTAATTACATTGTCATGCCATTCTAGGCATTCTTATTACCCCTATTATTCTGAAGCGCGAAATCTACATCCTTGTTATCTTTGGCTCACAGCTATTTCGATTGAAAACAGTGCTGTTTCCTTACACATCTTGTCATACTTTATACACCGTCCAAGCCATATCATAACCCATTTTCTGGGCTACCGTCATCGCTTTGCATTTAAATCCGTCTTCTAAACATAGGCTAGCTCGGATAGTCTTTCTAGTAGACAACCAGCCACACCTGAGTTTTAACTCAGCTCGGTCTGGATAAGTACGAGAAGTAGCTGTATGTAGCTAGTTTAAAGCCAAGGATAAATGAGCAGTTATATCTCATTTATTTATTTTATGCCTAGAATAGTTGAAAGACGGTAAAATAAAATAAGACATATTTTCGGATACATTATGGTCATTTTCATGTAAAGCGGATTCTCTGAAATTTATTTACTACCTCCCAAAGAAGTGTGTTAATGAATCAATCGATTTAAAAGCTTATCACATTAAATTTCTGATTTGAAACCTCTGGATGAGGATAGAAAAAGTTAGTTTAAATCTTGGATTGTCGTCATCATTAGTCAGTTTTACCTATCTCTATCGCAGTAGTTAAATATTACCCCTTGAGTAGTAAATATCGGTTCCTAAAAGGCTGAGTAATAACTGTAAAGTTTACATATCAGGAAGTGATAAAAAATCTAGGTTAGTTACGATAAATAAGAAAAGATCAAAAGTATAATAAGTAAGAATGGTACTCACATGTTTAAAGTTGATCAATTTCAATAACCAAGTTTAGTAAAAATCTGGTCAGCAGTCGGATCTAGTAGCTCAGTCGGTAGAGCATGGAGCCAGAAACGCAGTGGTAACTGGTTCAAATTCTACCAGAGTCCAAATTTTTGTTTCACTTTCAATCACCACCTAGTATTAATACAAATCTACCAAATCACAGTCACCTCAGATAGTTAAACAGAAAATCTCAATAAGATGTAACAAAAAAGAATTCGAAACTAAGTCATTAAACATCTCCATGAACTTTTAAATGAAATCCAGTCCATGACATGATGCATAGAGATCTCCAACCGCAAGTCCCATATCTGCCATTTCTTTAAAATATGTCAAACGTTCATAATCCTAATGTTTCCATAGTACACACGGTGGCGTTGATAAATTCAGTTCTTCAGAAACTAGCTTGCACAGAAAATGGAATCCACCAGAGATATCTCCCAGTACTCTAAAGAAATGAATTAGCTCAGATATTTACGATAAACTTGTGTCATCATTCAAAGTTTCTGTAACATATGCAAGAACACCAGCGAACAGAACTATCAGCATAACCTATCGACTGTATGATCTACTTCCACTGCCGAAAACAGAAGTGAAACAGTTGTTAATTCTCTGTACAAAGTATTCAATTCCAACAAACCTGGAAAGTTGGTGAAGTGATGATGAGGTGGTCTGTGAGGCTCATCCTATCTGATATCTTAACTGCTCATACGACAAACACGTATCGACTTAGCTATCAAGAAAACTACCTATGTCTATGATAATTCCAATTTTTTTAGTAATATAAATCATGCAGCAATATTTCATAGGACTTCAAATTCAACTAGAGGAAAGATAAATTCTAAAATGGAGTATAAAAATGAAACCAAATCTGACTACTTAGATCAGAGTGTACGGCCTAAAAGGAATAGTGAAGCCGAGAAAATCATACACAGACCTAAAGATCCGATTGTCTACAAGAAGCTATCTGAAATTCAAGATAAGTTATATGTGTGCAGAAATACATAGACATTTAAAATGTGTTCTGTAAAAGAGCTAACCTTCAGCTAAGTGATTATCAGCACATAACACTGTGCGCTTACCAGATCGATCTCAAATAAATGAGTACACTTCTTGCACCACCCTTAGCTACTTTTATAAATTTACACATGCTTACGGGCGCATATAATCAAGAGGAAAGCAGAGAAGAAAGTCCAATTGATTTTCCCAGTAATATCTTAATAAATATGTGACTAAAAGGAAGGGATAATTTCATAAATGCAACATTCAGACCTGGTAGAAACCGGATACCAGACAAAGATCTCTTAATCCTTCACCGCAATCAACAAACAGAATTTTCAAGCCAAATAAATTTTGGTGAAGTCCTTACAATCAAGAATTCTAGATCTTACTCTTATGAACAAATAAGTACTGCGATCAATCTTTCGTTATCCTACCAACTGAGTATTATATCTGTAGGATTGTCTTTTTCTTTTAATCTTCATATACTTACATAAATTTAATCTTCACTTGTTAAGAGACTCTCTATCATAACATTCACTTCAATAAATCATGGTTTTCTTTATTTCTTCCCGGTTTTATATCACTTAAATCAGTCAGTGAGTATCTTTTCTGCTTCATGTCGATTACAGTCATAGGTTCAGTTTACTTGCATCTTGGTACTTATTTACAGTTCACAAGAACACTTACACTTTGCATTGTTCACTTCACATAACATAAATCCATTGCAATAAATGAAGTTCAAAGGATTAAGAATATTCGATCTTATCTTCCAATGTTTGTCAACACCTTACAACCTATTTTGTTTACCAATATTTCAGAAATAGAGAAGTCTTGAGGCTAAGATTCTTCCTGATTGACACTTCTGAGTAAACCAACTATGCAACATATAGGGCATTCACTTTTTCGCATATATCGATCATACCGTAAATTAGTAGAAGACGTTTAAGTGGGTTTTTCAAGCAATCTGCGAAACCATATTGGATACCTCTGGTAATAACTAATACTACACTGTAGCTATTGGTGTTAATCGAATTCGGCAAAAGAAGGAGTCCGTCCTGAACAGCAAGTTAGGTGAATAAAAATTGCAATGTTTCTCTGTATTTAAAGATGAATTACAGATGTTTGCATAAAACAGCAAACCTACGTTGATTTAATAAATCATTTAGTATTTTGATGATCTTTAGTTGACTACCAGCATTGTATGAACAACTTTGTTTATTAACTCCTGATCTATTCAACTGTTTATCAAACTATCTTGTGATAGGTTAAATGTGAAGTAACACTGAATTATGCAAACTGTTTAAATCTCAAGGTATGCAAAATAGACTGTACACGATTACCTGCTCACTTACATGACTATCTAATTCATTTTATTTAAATGCGAAAATGAATTATCTTGACAAGAAGTCGTAACTTATAAACATAAACCTAACAATCAGCCATGCAGACAAAAGAACGGGGTTGCTATAGGGGCCCCTACTTGGACCGCTGCTGGCTAGTTGCTTTACAGTAAATCCAAAGAATACTGTTCTCCGCCCAACAACTGGCAGTTTTCACCTATATGAAAGATATATGGATGATACACTCACCATATATGATCAAAATACAGATGTCGGTATTTTAGTAAAAACGTTTAACGATTATCCCTCACCGATCAACTTCATATTCGAATTTGAGAAGAACTCAGAGGTTCATTTTTTCGATGTTTTGTTGAAACGGAGACCACTTGGCTCCCTTAAGGGATCAGTTTATAGGAACTCAACATGGAATTGACAATACTAGAACTTCCGTAGCTGGGTGCATCTCCGCAGAAATGAACTTGATTCATTCTTTGTCATCAAGAATCGCAAAAACCTGCATGACGAACTGGACAAACTACAGAAAATTCTCTTACCAACCGATACACATCCACATTTATTGAGAAAAACGTAAATTAAAACAGAATGCAGAGCGAGTACTCACTGCTACAAATAAAATTTTGTTTGTGAAAGTTGGTTTCAAAATGGATGATGCAGCAACATGGATCCTGAAAAGTCGGCTGTCGGAATCTCTGAAGAAGACATTCTTCTCTACGAAGCTGCAGATCAGCTTCTGTAGTCAGCAATTGATTCCAGGGGGGGGGGGATTAAGGACAATTTTCAGCTTTGGGTCACCTCAGTTTTCGTCAACAAATTTACTTGCTCCCGTGGAGCTGCTAGTCAAATAGACAGCATAGAGCACATACTTTCCAAATGTATCTCTGATGACTATCCTGCATGGAGAGAAAGTAAATCGATTAACATATAGCTCCACAACAGCCTTCTTTCAGTATCATTTACACAGTCAAAAAGAACAGTTCAGAATAATAATAATAATAATTCACTTTATTCCAAACAATTTGTGGTACAATTTGGAATTCTCAGCGTAATATATATTGCAATAACAACAAAATATAAGTATATACATACTACTTTGCAGCCTTTTTAATTGTTTTATTATAAAAATTTAAGTTATGTGAAGAATATTAAAAACGAGAAAATTTTGCATTGTAAGTTAAATTATTGAAATGAGATTTTTAACTGTCACAAAGTTGATGTGTGATTTCTGTTCTAACACTTTTTTCCTCACAAAATATGCGTGCAAGGTAAGGTACAGTCGAATTCTTATACTTAGCTGTACGAGCATACAGTCTTATGTAGTTTCTCCTTGTCCTCCCTGAGGAGATACATGGAGAGAGCTGTAAATGAAGTGGATGCTCACTGTCAGTTAAAATTTCTGTAGCTAGTAGCTTGCAGGAATTTATATGTCGATCAACTACAGTGTTAATCAGTTGAGCCAGAGACACACCACTCACCCTGCTGACGGTCTTCAAAGCCCTACGCAACATAACATAGTCCTTTTTAAGAAGACCAGGAAAGATTAATGGGGAACAATATAGAAGAATAGGTAAAATGCAGGAATTAATAAATTGTAAAAGAAGCAGTTGAGTTATACCAGAAAGCCTCAATTTCTTTACGTAATAAGTTAAACGAAAGATTTTTTTACAAGTCAATAAAATATGGGACGACCAACAAAGGTCAGAAGTAAAACCCAACCCAAGATAGTTCACACTCGATTTACTTTCTGCAGAAATACCATTGATGCAGCAGGCGTCATGAGATTTAAGCAGCTCACATAAGTCTTGTTTACGCCTGAGGCTAAAATTAACGGTCTGACATTTAGAGGGGTTTAGTTTGAGACCATTTACCAACTTCAGACAAGAATTCATTTAATTTCGAGCAATCCAAAGAAGAGTTTACTGGAATAGAAATCGTCAGGTCGTCAGCATACTTGATAAAATTAGTTTCAACAGAATAAGGCAAATCGTGCAAAAAAAGGAAAACAGAAAAGGAGAAAGTACAGCACCTTGAGGCACACCAGCTTCAGTAAGCAATGAAGTCGAGCGCATCCCTTTATGAATAGTGTACTGTTTCCTTTCAGAAAAATAAGAATGCAGCCATTTTGTAACCCATGGATCAGTGTGAGCTATGGCAAGCTTATTTAACAAAAGTGGTCTAGGAACAGAGTCAAAGGCTGATGAGTAATCCAAAAAGGCACAACGGACATACTTAACACCTTTGTCGAGACTAGAAACAATATTATGATGCAAGACAGTAGCTGCATCTAAAGTACTCCTCCGGTGTTTGTAAGCAAACTGTTTTGGATCTCTGAAGGCCATCAATGAAGGCTCAATCACAAGCAGAAGTAATTTCTCCATTGTCTTCAGAAAAGGGGAAGTTATAGCGATGGGTCGAAAAGTAACATCTGATCCAGAAGATGGCTTAGGCACAGGTACAATTTTTATCTGCTTCCAAGCAGTGGGTATTATGTTTTTAGAGAACGATACATTGAAGATATCTGTAAGTGGATGACACAAAATATCTGCACATTTTCTAAATATGATACTAGAAACACCATCAGGACCTAAGCTTTGGGAGGGATTCAAAGACTTTAGACATTTAAATACATCATTTGTATTGAAACCTGGAAAGCAGCTATCCACTTGATTTTGCACATTAGGAAGGGTGAAATTAGCTTGCCGACGTATAAATGACTTGTTTAACGCGTAGACATCCGAACGAGTTTGTGTTGTCATCTGTTTTTTACCAGTAAGCTCTTTAAATAATTTCCATATATTGGAAGAGTTCTTACACGATAAGAACTTCTCGTTGTATATAGTATTCAGACGTTGTATTTCAGACTTAATTAGGCAGTTAAGCCTTTTAACGCCAGGGTGATCTCTCGCCTTATACAACCTTTCCTTTTCTCTCCGAAGCCTCTTGAGATGAGGAGAGGAAAGTCTGTCAAATCTCATGTAAATTGTTTCAGTAGGGCAGCAGATATCGAGACAGAATCTGAGATAGCTTGTGATATTGGTAATAGTGTTGTCTAAAACTTCATCAGCAAATATATCCCAGTCCGTTTCTATAAGCATGCTTCTCAAACGTAATATATTTTCTTGAGAATATCGTCTGTATTGAACTTTCCTTGAAAGGTATGCAAAAGCTTTCTTGTATAATTTTCCGTACACTTTAGGCAAAACACGAACGATACAGTGGTCGGAATTTAGCAGTGGAGCCCGTTTACGGGCTTCATATATGCCAGGTTCATTTGTAAATGCAAAGTCTAGAGTGTTGTCAAGACGAGTGGAAAAGTTAACCATATTTTTATGACCCAATGATAATATAAAACTGTAGTCACATGAGTTAAAATCACCACAGACAATAGACAAGGAGTTTCCCAGAACCGGAGCAGCAAATTCAGTGAATTTATCAGCAAAAGTTGACAAATCTGAGAAACTGCAGTCAGGTGTGACATACATGTTTGTGATATATATGTATTTGTATTTGCTCAAATGTTTGGGACGACATTTGATGGTAATGCACTCAATTTTTTCGTTAGAGAAGCAGAAGCATACATAGTTGGAGGACGACCAGTTAGTACTAATAAATGTTGCTACACCACCACCACATTTCTTCTTCGAAAAGCTTCGATCTTGTCGAAATAATTTGAAACCATCTAAGCAGACTAAGTCATCATCATACAGATTATGAAGCCATGTTTCCTGCAGCATTATTACACCCGTGTTTCGATAAACATTTGTGGACAAGAGTGACTGAAGGTAATCAACTTTATTCGGCAACGACCTGCAGTTTGTGCTAAGTATTTCCGGAATAGTCATTTGATCTATGGTCATACGCTTCAGAGCTCGTTGCCATCCACCGTGGTGCTTCTTCTTAAATTTCCTATCAACTTGCGAAGCGATAGGTTGTAATGATTTTAAAAACGCGCGAGAATATACAATACGATTGGTTGACATAATTAAACGATTAAAACAATATAGAAATAAGAAATTTGATGCAATATACTCGATGATAGAAAACAGTAGCCCAGAGTTCAAGCAGGCCGCTAGGAGTACGCTTTCGACAGTTGTGCACAGCAGAAGCACTGGCAGTTTACCGATTCAAGCCCGATCTCTGAGAACAGAAGAAATATGTTCAGTTTCTTATTTTACCCTCATTTTACACTTTCGTAATTTTTTATCGATTTCATCACTTTACTGTTATCACCTTCATTATGACCCCTGTTTCTTTCGTCATGTTATTTACATCCATCAAGTGGACACTTAGCCTTCACGTTTCATGTCTGCCAACAATTTTCACCTCGTGAAACTACCTATCTTTCTCGTTATTTTCATTGTTTAAAAGGTTATTATGCAACTACTTTTTATTCCTGATTTCAGCTTTTAGCAGTTACAACCAGTTGTTTAGTAATAGACTGTTGTACGTCTGTGATATATATATACTTGTACAACTTTAGGAAATGACGTCTTCGTAAACGAAAATTTTCTTCGCTGAATTGACTTTTCTTTTCTTTACGATTCAATGCAGACGTTTCGTCGGATAAAACAAATATATGCAGAAAGAGAGTGTAGTCATTCTGAATTCTATCATGGTAGACGTTTCTATATGTTGTCAAGATGTTTATGTATTAGTGTTTCTTTTTCCATACAGAAAAGAGACTAAATGAACAAATAAATATATTCTTTTGAAGTTAGGGTCCTCGTCTTCGGCTCTACACTAATATCCAGTTTTACATTTCAATCAGAATATCAGTCAAATAATGAGGGGTTGATGAACAATAATTATAGATTTGATGTAAATCATGAAGATGATACGTTTGAAAAGTCAAGATGAAAATAATCAACGGAGTAACTGTACAGGCCTAAAAACGATAAGAATAATAAGGGATAGTAACTGGCAAAGTAGCTGGGTTATTTTTTCTCCAGTAGTCAGTCAAGAATCATAAATAATTAAGCGAGGATAAGAAAGCAAATGAATGTTGATAGAATTTGATTCGGAAGAGATGTCTAAAGTAATACTATAAGTCATTTTATGTTCGGCGGCACAGTAATCCAATCGGTTGAACAAATTTCTTCTGAATACAAATGTTACGTTTGTTGAGGTGGTTTGTAATCACCTCTGCTATGTGAAGTAGATGAATGTGGAATCCATATGCAAAATTAATTGGCATACAATGAAAAACTTTAAGTGCTGAAGTATGAAGCTCTTCATAATTCTAACCTGTTACTTATTCAGCTTAGTGGATGGTGCTTACAAATTCGACGATGGACCTACCTCATCGTACGCCAGATGTAACTAGCTCCACAGGAATATTTGGACTGATAAATGCACATAAAAGTGGCAGGATCTAGAAGTTTGTCTTCGTTTATTGAGTTTAGAATGGAGCGGTTATAGAAGATAGGGCACACTTTGCTGGTGGATATTTGAAACCGTAGTCATCATCTACTCACAACGCATCGTTTCTAACATTAGTTTATTAAGATGATCAGTGTATCCCTGAAATGACTTCAGAAACAGTTACGTTTTAAGTACGTCTTAATTGTACCGGTCAGACATACATTGATTGGTCGCTGAAGATCAGCCAATTTTATGTTATCCACTCCTGAATACTGAAAGAATCCTATCGGTCATTTTACAATGTCACCATAAGACTAGAAGGCCCACCATAGCATATCTGTCAACTTACTACTGGAGATTACAAAATACATTGACGTAGAGTGACTACAAGCTATCGCTGGCACAAGCATTGAATACAGCGCAACAAATACTTTGAATATTTCATGATAATATCAGTCTAGCACTACTAACTTAGCCAGATGATAAAATATTCGCTGCAATAAAAATAGGCCTTAACATATCAAAAAAGCTTATCAGTATTTTCGAAGTGTAACAAATGCTACAGTGAAAAACTTTCAAGAACTTAGATCACCTTCCCCTTCATGTTCACTCGCCAGCACACACTAGGGACCAGCTGAATATGTGTAGACCACAATCGAAGAAGCAGGAGCCAACTTCTTACAGCTTCATCCAGCTTGAAAACCTACCTATAAAACTACTAACGTGGGTGACAATAAAAGTCACTAAAAATGGACTTCTAGGCAGCTAATACACATAAGGCAACTTTTAAGGGTCATCCATCAGTTGCATACGTTCATTTTTTGTGCACAAGCAAATGTTTCTTCAGATAAACTACCCGTTACCGTGGGCAACCAGGACCCCAGACAGAAAACTAACCAAGTAATCATAAATATAAAAAACTCAGAATAAAATGTTGACAAAATGGAAGCAACCTCTTAAAGTATCTTTCAAAATTAAAATGATAAGCATTAATATGGGTCTTTCATTCAAATAAAAGACAATCAAGGAGAACTTGATTTTGATGCCTAAAAGGAAGACGCCTAATAATACATCGTTAAAACAGTAACTTACTAAACTTGTAAAGCTAACGTAGCCTAAAGTATCTTCATCGATCCCTTCAGCTATAAATAGCTAAGCGAAAGGAATTCTTTAGATGTAAAATTGTATACAAATATTAAGTTTTTATTATTGAATTATTACTATGTGAATTTGTGTGAGGGAGGTACTGTTATCACAATGGAAACTGATGTCATGACATCAATTGCGAGGGTTTTCGTCGGCAGAATGAAAAACAAACAATATAAAAGTGTCAGTGAACGTCTAAGCACCATGTACTTAATTGTAAAAAAGGTTTAAAACAAAGTCCACAAAATTCTGATGTTATAGCCTGTAAATCTCTATGGATGATTTGACTAAAATGATTGGCAACTATTTGCACCTGGATAAAATCGAGACATCTGCAGAGGAGCCCATATGTTAATACAGGTTATAACATCAAAACTAAACTTTATCCCCTATACAAGGAGTAGTTATCGTGACTAAGTGGCCAAGTTAATAGTACTTTAGCGTTTGAAGCAGTTTCTCCTGCGTTCGAGTCTTAGTGTGAACCACATCACCCATTGGGAGGCAAGTACACCCAACAGACAAGTCCCAAATAGGATAAAACACATGTCTTGTATTTTACCGCTAGCCATTGTTCATCGACTCCACCCGATATAGGTTTGTCCCCTTGATCATGAGCCACACTTTTTATGTGATGGCTTATAATACTACCCTATCGCTCAAGCCAAAGTAGGATAAGGAGGATTCGAACCTGGGGCCTAATGCTCGAAAATCAAGTTCCTAAAGCCAATGAACCATAAGGAAATGGTCACTAAACGACCATTAATCCTAACCATAATTTGCGAGTACGCAACGTGGATTTCCTCAACTTCACCAACAATACTTGTTACATTTCATACTGTCTTAGATAGTGGTGGTTTTTCAAATTAAAGTGTCAACTAGAAGAGTAAGAAATACAACTGGAGGAGAATAATATGGATCCATTTTATTATTTCTGTGGTCCTCATCAGCTGCTTAAAACCTAGAGTATTTACGATAACAAATTAAATTAACATTTAAACACAATTTAGTTCGTTAAGATCAGTCAAAACAGGACAACGACATAGCGAAAAAAGGAAACTATGTGAATTGAAATGAAGTCTAAATGTCAAACGCTGATGTCATAAATACTTAGGCACCTAATGGATAGTCTGATTTTTATGTGAAAATGGAAATAAGCCAGTATTCCTGTAAGTGTGAGATGACCTGATTTCAACGAATTTAGTAAATCAACTAACCATTCTATTTCAGGTTCTTCAGTGTAAACTTACCGAATAAGTCAAAAAGCTATAATGTTATCTGCGGGCAATTTTAAGTAATAAGAAGTATTTATGTCTCCAACACAGAAAACTTAAACCAGTCGGTCATCAGAAATTAATTAATTCTGTGCTGTAGATTTTGTGGTGTAAAATAGCTATCGGATGAACCGTTCTGTACGGCTACCATGTAATTTATCTTATGTTGTATGGCCAAAATATGTTCTGACAAAGAAGAAAGTTACGCCTATGAATTTCTGCCCGTCACTTCCCGTCAACTTGACAAAGTTTGTCTAGTGTTAAGCGAGACTAGTACAACTAACTCTCTAGTTTTTCGTTTCAACTAAATAAGAACATTCAAACACCTAAGACTAAGTAAATTATAAACAAAAGACCAACATATAGGTAGTATATCACATCAATCAATGAAACGGATAATGAGAGGTAGAAGCGGTAACTTCAAGGATATAAATGTAGAAATGATAAGTAACTAAGATTTTTCATAAACTCTGGTAAAATCATATCTGTCGAAAAGTCAGACTTAAATCTACTCATTGGCTACGTTACCGGGTACTTGAACTTCAGTTATTGTATACACTATGCGTCCAATTTCACCAGTATTTTTCGTCTGACTTTCTGCTGTTTCAGAAAAAAAAGCTTAACATTTGTATTTAAGTTTTGTCATCTTAACTATTCCATTTCTGTAAATGTGTTCCATAGAAAAAACCTTGAGCATTTCGGAAGTAAAACGCCTAATGATAATAGATAATGCTCAATGTATTCCGACTGGCTTAACGTTCTTTCAAATGGTGGTAAGGACTTTAGCCTCGATTTGTGGATCTTCGAGTTAGTTTCTGTGACACCAACCATTGGATATCAGCGTAGGTGACATTCTCCATGTTGTTTCATTTGTAAATGACACTGACAATTCTTTTATGAGTAGTTATACAGTATATGTTCCAGGTATATGGAAAATTCTACTACCTATATCACGAAGGAAGTGATACAATTAGAAATATATTAACCATGTTTCAAAGTTGTAGAGTCACCTTGATATAATAAAGGAAAGTAAATCACTTACGAAAAGTGATCCAGTAGGTAACATTGTTTCTCTATGTGATGTATCCGTTAAATCAACCTAAGTGAAACTTTCACAGATTTCCTGCTGGAATGAACGATACATAGATGTTTGGTTGTTTTTTTCCATTCCTATTGTTTATTCAATAACTGGTTTCTTGGTCACTGAATAACTGTATCAATATTTAACTGTCTCTTCTTAATCTGTACTGTTAAAGTGATTTTGCTCCATTGACTGTCAACATTCACAGGTTTGTCCAGTTAGGCTGCTCCTAGATGAAAATTGGGAACAATGTTATTAGAATGCATTGAGCATTGAAAATATAATATACACCTGTGTTTAGTCATTCAAGTGGAACCCAATCAAATTATTCATTCTCTAAAACTAACGGCACAGAAGACTTAATCAATGAAAAGGCAACAAATCACTGCTAGAAAAACTTCCTTATCACTAAGACTAAATACCTGATACTATATTTACTAAGAATACTAAAGACAGAAAACAATAATCTTGAATATTTTTAAGCTGTTCAATTTTACAGCATGCAATTGAGATAAAAAATAATCGTCGTTACTAGAGAGCTGCTAACCATACCACGAATCAAAACAACTGAAATATGTGAGTTATATGATTTTAATCTAGTGATTGAATGGCGATACAATTATCACAAGGTCTGAAAATCATTCACTGAGTCCTGTCAAAACAATCTAGAGAGGATTCATAAACTAAAATGAAACAAGTAGAGAACTATGGACCAGTGAACTCCAACCTGGTCTCTGAATGGTTAACAGGTTTTCCATGAAACTTGAAGGTCCTGAGTTGGGCTTTCTGATGGGGTTGAGAGTGTGTACTGTTGAGATGTGCCATATTGGGACTTAATGACTGTCCAGTGCTCCCAGGTTTTCAATAATTCTCAAAATGATGCCAATTCGCGATGAATAATACCTTAAAATGAAACAATTGTTTAGTACTCTTTCAACTTCACTAGTTCCATAGACGATTTTAGTCAACAATTAATCTTCTAATCGACTGCTTACTTTTATTTAATTGAGAACTTTTAGCTTCAGTAAGTTAAATTTATATGAACGTTATCCATCCAGACGAAAACACATCATTGCACATTAATCAATAGTTGAATGTAATTTGATGTTTTGTCATAAGTTTTCTCAGTGACTTCTCTCTTATCATAACAGACCAAAATGTTTACAGACTCGTAAAACATTTCACGGTTAACACAAAATCTTATTATGCAAATGTCACACGTTCATCAGGAATGTATTTTTTTCTACTCTTTCTAAATCTCAC